TGTGTGTGTCACACACACACACTCTCTTTCTCTCTCTCTCTCTCTCTCTCTCTCTGAAAAGCAAATTAGCATTCTCTCTATTCTTCAGTGCAAGAATAGAATTGGACTTTTGGGAGTTTTCAAATGGAACTAAATGACGCAGGTCTGACCGATTCTGCTGGGAGGCTAAAGACGCTTCAGAGATGTATCACACTCACTCGCTCTCTCTCTCACTCTCTCTCTCTCTCTCACACACACACACACACACACACACACACACACGCACGCTCGCACGCATGCACACACACACACACTATATGTTACATGTAAAAACAACCAGAAGTGATACAAAATAATGGATATACACTAGCATTCATAAGTTTGGGGTTGGTAAGATTTTTCAGTGTTTTGTTTTTGAAAGAACTCTCTTCTGCTCACCAAGGCTGCATTTTTTTTTTATCCAAAATACAATAAAAACAGTAAAATTGTGAAATATTATTGGAATTCAAAACAGCTGTTTTCTATGTGAATATCTGTTAAAATGTAATTTATTTCTGTGATCAAAGCTGTATTTTCAGCATCATTACTCCAGTCTTCAGTGTCACATGATCTTCAGAAATCATTCTAATATGCTGATTTGCTGCTCAAGAAACATTTCTGATTATTATCAATGTTGAAAACAGTTGTGCTGCACAACATTTTTGTGGAAACTGTGATACATTTTATTTTCAGCATACTTTGATGAAACGAAAGTTCAAAAGAGCAGCATTTATTTGAAATAGAAATCTTTTGTAACATTATAAGTCTTTACTGTCACTTTTGATCAATTCAATGCGTGCTTGCTGCATAAAAGTAATTTATTTTAAAATAATATTTTGAATGGTAGTGTATATTATAGTTTTATAAATCATCATGTTTATGAAAATTGCTTCTTTTTTTTCCTTCAACTGTATTTAATCTTTAACAATCCTATAATTTTCTTAAGCGAAGTTCTTTAACAGGAAGTCTGTCATTATCATTTCTACTAACTAATTATAAATATTGAACTAGCTCTTGTGAAAGATGCATCATTTAGTTTTATACAACATGCAACTGTGGCCTGAAAAATGAAGCCTCCTCTCTTAATGCATATGGTATCATTATTATTTGTCTCCACAATTACTTCTTATGCACAACGACAAGCCTGCGCGCTCACATCCATCACAAACAGTTCATCGAATTAAGACTCACTGTAGCAAAAACACTCGTCTGATGAAGAGCATCACCTGGCTAGAGTTTGGGCCTGATGTCTCAGTTTCATGGAAAAAGCCTCTCATTCAAATCTATAAAGCGTGCCACTTTTCACTCGAATCAAAAAACACATTACAACACAAGTCTTCTGACGTCCACATCAGCACCAATAAACAAATGCACACGAACACTGATGGATTCCTCCAGCCGGCGGAGAGAAAGAGAACCAATCAAAGATCATATTAATTTGACATTTACTTTAGGCATGAATCACAGCCACAGCGAGCCGTTGATTATTATATCCTCTCTGCATGCTCTACCATCCCTCTCTCAACACCAAACCGTCACTTCAACATGAAAACAGACCATCAGTGCTTATATAATCTGGTATTTCACAGACACGGACAGGAGTATCAGGAGAGGAGGAGCAGAGCGGTGTTTGAGGCTCTTACGCGTCGTCCACGTAACACGGGTACGGCATCTGCTGTGCGTAGACGCCGAGCGACTGACTGACTCCCGTCTGCACTGTAATGATTCCTCGATCCACCATGTCCTGCAGGTACACGAAGCCTCCTCTCACGTAGTGCAGGTCATTAAACGGGTTATCACGGGCCAACGGGGACCAGGACCTGAAACACACATCAACAACACACCGTGTAAACCCACTGCAGCTTCAGCTGCATGTGCGTGTGTGTGTGTGTGTGTGTGTGTGTTTGTCTGTGTGTGTGTTACGCTACGACTGCACTGGACTGGCATTTTTTTATATTTCAGTTTGCATTTTAATTTTAGTTTACATTTTTGTAAATTTGTTACATGCATTAGTCTTATTTATTTATTGCTTTAATTCATTTTTATTTGTTTTAGTTTTAGTTATTTTAGTACTTTAACTTAAATATATTATATTTCAGTTAGTTGTCAAGGCAACATTTCCAATTTTGGTTCATGTTTTAAAGTTTAAGTTTCTCATTTTATTTTATCTCAGCTTTATTTTGATTAAGGAAAAGTTAATAAAAAAGTTGTAATAGTTTTAGTTAACAATAACAAACTTTTAGTAATTAAACTTAAACTTGTTTTATTTCAAGTATAGTTGCCAAGGCAACATTTCTGATTTTCATTCTAGTTTAAGTTTATTTTATTTTAATAAAAATAAAAAAATGCAGTTTTAGTTGTTTTAGGACGTGTTTTAGGAATTTTGTTATGTGCATTTGTGTTTTTTATTAGCTTTAACTTTATTAACTTTATTAAAAAAACATTTCTATTTAGCTTTAATTCTAAATAAATGTAATACAATAAATAAAAAATAAATAAAATACATTTTATAATTATTTAAATATTATTTTATAATATTTTAGTAATTTCAGTTACTAAATATTTACTTATTTCAAACTTATTCTAATTCAGTTAGTTGCCAAGGAAACTATTCTAATCGTCATTTAAGTGTTTTTTTTTTTAGTTTATGCTTTTCGTTTTATTTTATTTTAGCTGTATGCCAATTAATGAGAACAATTTTTAATAGTTTAGTTTGCAATAACAACACCTAAAACAAGTTTTAGTCATTTTGTTATCTGCATTTGTCATTTTATTAGTTATTGTAATTTGTATTTTTATTTTTATTATAGTTCTTTTATATTGTTTGTTAATTATTTATTCATTTTTTGGTTTTCATTTATTCTTATTTAGTTGTATTATTCCTTAGATAGCTGCCAATGCAACATGACTAACACTAAAGTATACACAAAACTAAAATATCAAATTTATTTATTTTCATATTTGTAAACAAAATTACAAATATGACTAGTTTTCCAGAACATTATTTTGAACATATTACTGCAAATTGATTTACAACTAAAAATATATATATTTCTTATGATTTTGATTCAGATACAAAATTTGCAGAATGATTCAAACCAGTAGTTCAAACTGCTTTGATTAATTATTTGAAAAAAAACAAAAAAAATTGTGAATCTTCCGTGATACTTTCATGATCATCAATCCAGATTATGCTTACATTTGCAGATGTTTTACTATAAGTGGGTTGAATTTCAAAAAGTAGTTAGGTTAGATCTGGATAAATATGAAATGAGGAAAAGTATTAATTTTATTTTCCAATAATAAAATTCAAATCGGCATGAACTTGAATCAGACTCTATGTGTTTCCTAAATTCATATTACATACACATGCATGAGCTTATAGTGAACGAGTCACTCATGCATTTTAATTGATTTCATTATTTTTACTTTTTTGAGCTCTTTTTTTATTATTAATATTATTTTTTTTCCCTGAAGTATACAAGCGTCTTCACTGTCATGTGTTGATGTGGTGTGTGTGTTTCTGACCTCTCCTTGATCTTGTCCGTTCTCTCGGTCTCCTCGATGTCCATGCGGATCTTGTATCTGATGTGTGGCGGGGTCCGCGGGTCAGTGGGGTCCAGATCCGTGAAGACCAGACCGGCCCAGAAGCGGTCCTGATTCAGGAGCTTCAAAGACTGCTCAACCAGCACAGCCTCAGTGCTGACGCCTTCAAACTTATCCAGATCAAAACACTGCAACACACACACACACACACACTTCAGCACCTCTGTGCGTCTGAATCTGACAGTGAAGAACGAGGTTCATGTGGTGAACGCTGAACACAAGCAGAGAACAGAGAACCGCGAGAGGCCGAAGGAGAAGAAACAGAGTAAATGAAAGAGAGGAAGAATAGAGGAAACATGAGTATCCACTCAAACTGAACCATAAAGAACCAGAAAACATAAACAAAGCATACAAAATCACACACACACCAAACCAACAACATCAATAGGTCATGCTCAAATGTTAAGAGAGTTGACAACAGTCATTACTCTTCACTGGAACAACCTGAAAAAATAAATAAATAAAAAGCTAAATGAATTGGTACAACTTTACAATAAGAATGTGTTACTATTATGTATTAGGTATCATAATTATGCATTAGGTAAGTAATAAGTAATGCATTAGGTAAACATTAACTAACACTGAACTGATCTTTTTTTTATATTTATTATAGGCTAATTCTATTTTTTTAAATATACTATTTATCATTTGTTAAGTCATGTTTGTTCACAATACGTTAATTTAATTCATTTTTATTTGTTTCAGTTTTCAGCTTCAACTTCAACTTGTTTTATTTCAGTTAGTCAGCTATTTTAATTATCAAAAACTTCTTAAAAGTTTATTTTAGTTGACTGTAACAACACAAGTTTTAGTAATTGTATGTCCATTTGTCAGGTTTATTAGCTTATATATATATATATATATATATATAGAGAGAGAGAGAGAGAGAGAGAGAGAGAGAGCTTTAATTAATTTGTATTTGTTTTAGGTTTAGCAATTTTAGTACTTCTTTCATGTATAAGTATAACTTATCAATTATTAATATGCGTTTGTTTCTGCTATGTCAGCTTAAACTTGAGTTATTAAAATTGTTTGAGTGTTTGTTTATTTAATAATTTTTATTCAATCATTTTTATTTTTGGTTTTACGTTCATTTTTTATTTAAAAAAGTAATTAAAATTAGGGTTATTAAATTTTAAATGAGAAAATTAATAAAAATATTTTTGCCCATTATATTTACACATTATATGTCATATTTATATTCATAAATATATTGAATCATTTTTTTTTTAAACTCTAAATTTGGATTAACTTAACCTTTTCAAGGGTATAAACAGATTAAAACTATTTTCTTAGAGAATTAGAAAGATTTCAAATCCAATAGAACATGTTTGGCATGATATACTGTACATACACTTTTTTTTTACAATAAGATTAATAAAAGCTATTAAAGAACCTTTCTGTAAAGTGTTACCCGTTTATGATATTGTTAACAGATTTTACTGCTGAATTTATATTATTGATATATTTCTTAAATGTGGGTCTTTTTACACTTTTTGGTCACTGTAATATTTAAAAGAATACAAACTTCAGTTAAGAAGAAAAGTCACATGGTTTGCAGTGAGTCGATAGTATATTTTAACATTTTAATGCATTGCTCTGCAACCGATATATCCCCAAGGCCGATATATCGGCTGATGTGATAGCTGAAAAATGCCAAACATCGACCGATATATCGGCCTTGGGGATAAATCGGTCGACCACTAGTTTTAAGACATTTAAATTCAGCAACATTATTGTTGGTGGCTTCAGGTTAAGTTTTTTTCTGTTTAGGCGATATTTTCGAGGTGGGACTTTTATTTAGACTTTTTTATTTTTATATTGATTTCAAACCATACTGCGCTTTATCCATTTGCCCACTGTCAAATTCATGCCATTTCTACTGTGTGCTGCATGCAAAATGAGTGCTACCTTGGCTTTATTTGAAAAAAAAAATATGATTCCCAATGCACACAAACTTCCCAGATTACCCTGTTGGTTACAATGTGTACTTCCTTTTTATTTATATTTTTAAATATTTCTTTATTTGTGAAACATGCTGTGATAAGATTACAGAATCAAGAAGTTGTCATTTGAAGTATGTTTATTTAAATTAAATTAATTTTCAAATCATTTTAAATTTCTTAAATATTAATTCAAATTTAAAGTACAAATGTTACACACACATTGGAACTATATCGGCCACACTGCACTCTAAAATATCGGCATCGGCTGTCAAAAAACAATATCGGTTAACCTCTACTTAAAACTTTAGTCATTTATGGGACGCTTTTATTGAACGACTTATTCGGGGCTTTTATGAACACAAGTGTCATGTGCTGCACACAGCATTTATCTCTGAATGTCACAACGAGGATTCAGTGGCATGTTGTACAACTCAACGCATCAAGCTTCTGCTGGGTTTTGATTCTTTGATTGGTTTTGATCACAAAATGATACATCATGCAGATTAATCACTGTGATCACTGGCTGCACTTTCTGCCTTTCAATGTCTGACTGGTGTGCAGCAACGCAGCTTGACACTCCATTGGATTGGGAACGCTGACGTGAATCATGTGAAAGTGCACTCATTACACCTTTAGAGGTTCAGCGCCTTGAAGGATCAACACTAACCTCAAAACCTCAAAACCTCTAACCTTCTGGTTGTTCACCCCTAGGCAACGCCGTCCCGAACACGCTTGCATTCAGACAAAAACGAGAATAAAAGAGGAAAATCTACAGTGAAAGAGATCAGACGAGAGAGAAAAGCAGCGATTCTGAATGAAAACGGAAATAATTGCTGGGAGAACATCAAAGGAGAAACGAGATCTGATGCATGAACAAACCAGCGCTGGGCAAAAGTCAGAATTTAAAAACTGGCTGCTTTTCAAAACATGAGGTGGATTTTCAATTAAACTTGGCAACATGTTTCACAGGATGTTGAATTTGAATTTGAACTGGAAGAGGAATAAAGGTAATGGAATTCTGGGAAATGTAACACATTTAATGTTCAAACTATAAATCAGTCATTCAATGAGTCTTTCTCAAGCCAATATTTAAAATTTATCTTGATGAAGTTAATAAACTTCTAGTTGAAAATTACTCTTCTGGTAATTTCAGTATCAACATGTCAATGATGTAAATATTAACTAAAACTAAATCTATTAAAAATGGTTCTTTTTTCTTTGAAATAAAGCTGCAATAAAACCAAGTATAAATATTAGATACAATTTTTTTATGAAATATAGTAAGTTCCCCTTCGGGAACTCGAGCTGTGTCGGAAAACGCTAGGGGAACGCCTTCAGCGATACCAAGCTCTGAATCATATGTGTAATCAGTCGAACGATGGGCGAGACATCCGCGGCGGGTGACGTCATGACCAGGAAGCTTTAAAAGCACGTGAGGTGCAGCCGGCGCTAGCTTCCTGTCATTCAGCAAAGCTCTCTGTGTGTGTCGGTCACGATTTATGTTCTGTGAGTCTTATTTATTGTTGTCTGTCCAAAAAAGTGCACAAGCATTCAAATATAAGCTCCAGCAGAGAAAGAAACATGTCTAAGCAAAAGACAAAAAAGGGCGAAAGCAGATCGCGTTACAGACTGTGTGTTCCTCCCTGCCCACGCTACATCACGAGCGGGGATACACCCAGTTTGTGCGTGGTCTGCTTGGGAGCGGAGCATGTGGCGTCGGCTCTCGAGAGGGCCGACTGTCCGCATTGTGAGCAATCACGTGCTTTTAAAGCTTCCTGGTCATGACGTCACCCGCCGCGGACGTCTCGCCCATCGTTCGACTGATTACACATATGATTCAGAGCTTGGTATCGCTGAAGGCGTTCCCCTAGCGTTTTCCAACGCAGCGTCTCGTTCCCTCGGGGAACCATGGTTACATACGTAACCTGGGACGTTTTGTAAGTTTAAATTGATATTTCAGTTTTAAAACTAAAACTGAAATATCAATAAATTAAACTTAGCTGAAATTAGTTTAAAATAATATACTGAATAAGTACTGAAATTACTAAAACTGGAAAAAAAAGATACATATAAATATTTTATTTTATAAAGGTAATTGAATTAAAGATAAACATAATCATTTTATTTTATTTTATAAAGTTTTATTTTGCATTTTTTAATTAAATTGAATTAAATTAAATTAAATTAAATTAAATTAATAAAATAAAATAAAATAAAATAAAATAAAATAAAATAAAATAAAATAAAATAAATTAATTAATTAATTATCATGTCATCTTTCAAAGTTGTAATAAATGTCTAGTGGGAAATTACACTTTTGGGAATTTCTTAGAATTTTCAAATAATTCTTCAAATTCAGGAATTTAAAGGCAAATAATCTGCATTCTACGGTTAATTCTGGGAAATCGAAAGGCCTGTGTAATCTTTGAATTGAGGAAATAAGCAAGTAAGTAAATAAATAAATAAACAAACAAAGAATACATTTTATAAACAAACACATTTCTCTCAAGCCAACGTTCAAAGTGTGTCTTGATGAACTTAATAAACCTCTTTTTGCAATTTCTTTAAACTTCAATTCATTCTTCTTTCTTAAATTCAAATGACAAATTCTGCATCCTGTTTGCTACCTCAGTTCAAATTCAAATTCAGGAAGTGAATAGAAATGCACTCTGAACAGCCCAGCAGGAAGCTGCAGTGAAAGCTGAAGACGCACCGCGAGGATCTGAGTGATCTGCTGCGCTGCGCTGCTGGTGGCGTTGAAGACGTTACGCCAGTCGAAGGCTGGCATCCCCGCCGGACGCTCCGCCTCAGGGCCGTTAAACAGGAAGCCGCTGATGAGCGCTGAGGACAGACCGGAGTCATCCAGCCGCTCGTCCAGAACGACTGCAAACACAGGGTTCTTCAGAAGAGCCTGAGAACACAACACACATTCACAGGGTCACACAGCAGAAACACTCTGTTAGATTCATCAAACATCTAAAGCTGGGGTTGGCACAAAACCAACATTTCAGTAGTTGATACCAATCCCAGTGAAATGTCAAGTCAAATTACACAAGTCTAAATGAAGAGCAGGCAGTGTTTTTCACTTGCTCTTGTTAATATTGTTGTTAATAATATTAATCACATAAATGTACAAATAAAATCAATGAAAATGACAAAAGCACATCAAATTAAAGCTATAACTATAAACATGTTTTGGTTATTGAAATAAAGCTGAAATAACAACAAATATGAAGATTAGACAAAAAGTAAAAAAAAAAAAATATATATATATATAGAAAAAAAATAATTTAACTTAAATTAAATATTTACATTTGCCCCCGGTTTCACAGACAAGGCTTAAGATAGTCCTGGACTAAAATGCATGTTTGAGCTGGTTTAACTGAAAGCCAGTTGCACAGACATATCTTAAAATTTGTCAGTGTTATTGTTTTGTCTCAAGATGCACACCAGTAATGTTTTTTTCTAAATCACATTTATAAATGCTACTTAAATTCTCTAATTGAACTAAGACTTAATCCTGGCTTAGTCTAAACCCTGTCTGTGAAACCGGGCCATGATTACTTAAGTACTAAAATTACTAAAACTGAAATTAAACAGAAATATTTAAAAATCTAAAATAAAAATAACTAATAAAATAATACTAAATTCTAATTAAAATACTAAAATTTTTACTAAAATTAAAGTGAAAACTGAAAATAAAAGCTCTTTTAAAATATTTGTAAAATATTATAATAGTACACAAATAATACAACAATAACAATGACAGACATTTTATAACAGCAAGTGTGTTTGGACATTCTTGCACTCAACCACATTACCACACACATGCCCTGAGAAGAAACTACGCAAGCAGCTGTCTGTCAGTCAGACAAACCTCTGAACAGTGCTACCAACACTACAGAAACACTCACACTGGTGCATTTTTAGTATGCACAAGTATTTAAAGTATTTTTCACATCCCTGTACCGAACGCATGACAAGCACATCCTGCAGACTCATATCGTATTCCCATCAGAAATTTTATTAGTGTTTACTTCGAATATGACTTTAACCGGATTAAGGTAATCAGAAATCTCTGTTTACATGGTAATTAATCACATTATTACCGTGGTGTAGGACTTTTCGCCGCATTTTGCTACAGGATAAACACACGGCGGTGCTCAACCGTTCAACGCCAAATAAAGAGCTTCTACACCCGCCGTCGTCTGTATGCACGTACAAATAATTAACTGCGCTTGAAGCTTTCATAAAATAAAAAATTGAAACACTCAAAACTGTACATCATTCCATCATCACAAAGACGAACTATATGTTTATACGTGAAATTCTGGAGGGGACGTCGGATGGCGTCACGTGGGACGTAATGACGTGTGCCATTAATCGATCTATGTACTATAACATGCAAAACGGGAACAACTCATGTAAATACCATAATCATAATATTGGCTTATTCAGAATAAGGTAAATAATTAGATTACTGATGTCCATGTAAACGTAGTCAGTGTTTGTGTGCCCATTGTCACATTAAAACACTCTTCTTAGATCACTAATTCAAAACCACTGGCAGCCTAGGCTATTTCCTAATAAAATGCAAAGCTCAAAACGTTAAAATGTTTTCAAACTAAGCGGTATTAAATGAACGCATTAGGGCACAGCTGCTAATAGGGGCCACCATAAAATATTTTAGCCATTAAACATAAATTATTGTGCCAAAACACCTGACTATAACATTTTAATTTATTCATGAGACAATAGACTCTGACAGCCAACCAAACCCTTTAAATCATAAAAACAAAAACAGAGAGAGAGAGAGAGACAATGGCTTTGTTTCATAACCTAGGAATCACTGTAACTGAAATGCAGGATACATGAGTGATTTGGAGCTCCCTACATAGGCAACAGTATACACAGTACTTGTCATATGTGACTCAACCCACTAAGCACTTTGGTGTTAGCATTTTGCTCAAAAACTGGGCCGATAGATGTTCTACGACGGTCCAACCGTTGACTTGTTGTGTCATGGCCTTAAAGGTCCCTCAAAGGGTAATGAAAAAGTCAAAACAAAGTTCACTTCTTTTCCAATCCATCCCTCCATCGGCACTCATCTTCTCTCCCTCATCTTCTCAATAAGCTCATTTGAAAATGACACTGAGGTAATGGGAAAGGGGGGGTAATGTAGCGATAGAGGGTTCATCTGAAGGTGTGCCGCTGGTTAATCCCTTCCCTGCTGCTGGTGCAAATGATCCTGCACTTACCCGTAATTACCTTCTCCTTTCATGCACCCTATCGCAGAAGAGGGGCAATAAACTCTCTCTCACGCACACACACACACACCTGTTAGCGAGACGGAGGGTTTAAGAGCTTCATTCGTGAGGGGTGTGTGTGTAAGAGACTCTTTCATTCTCGGCCGAGGTGACTCATCCAGAACAATAATGGACACTGAACTACATTCACAATGGAAGATAAGTCCTGTGTATCTGTCAGCTCACTAATAAAGCACTTCCTGGTGAAATACTGCATATTAACCGCTGGGATTTCTGGCTGGTACCTCATCAGACTAAGTATTTGTGGTGTTGAATGTTATGGCCCGGTGCAGTAGTCGGCAGTGTTCATTTTGACAGCAAATTTTGATTTAGTCTTAGTCATAGTGTTTTGACTAAAATGCCATTTGGTTTTAGTCATATTTTAGTCATTTGAATTGTTTTTGTTTTAGCCAACTAAATCTACAGTAGATTCAGTCGGCTAAAATCGAATGGGTTTAGTTACAGTGTAATGCATTTGTTAAGCATTTCTCTAAAATTTCCAAGCGCATTATATAGGTTTGTTATTAAGGTTTTATCATAACAATTTACCACATTCTTCATTCTTTCATATGCAATGCCAAACCTGACAAAATTAGAAATAAATACATATGAATAAATATACAAAGACATGTAAAAATTTAAAAATAAATTAATATAAAAATAAATGTATAAAAAAGTAAAAAAAAAAAATAAATAAATAAATAAATAAGTATTTATACTTTTATTTCCTTATGTATGCATTTTTCCCACAATTTTTTTTCTTTTATTTATTTCTATTTTTATTTCCATTTTTTTTAATTTCCACATTTATGTATTTATTTACGTTTTTATTTCTATATTTATTTACTTCTATTTTTGTCAGGTTTGGCATTCCATACTTTCAAGCAGACATATGTATTTGTATAAATACATTTAGATTAATCCTTATTAGGGTTACTAAAGTCATTCAGTCAAGAGCAGTGAGTGATTTTCTCTTTTTCTTTTGTTGCTTGATTAACATTACTGACACACACAACAGTAACTAAATTAGGCTACTGTCACTTTAAGACCGAATGCACGAGTGCATCATACTGATACACATCTGATATTCTCACATCTGTTTACGTTCACTTGAGACGTAACCGAGTGTGTTTATGTGAATACTCATCAAAACAGACAATTTGACATTCGAGAGCTGAATTCAGTACCTGTGCACTGCGTGAGAGGCGCTTTTCTGTGCGCGCTCAGAAAACCGAACCGTCTTGAGTTCTCTTTTGCATCATCATGCTTTTTAAATGTATCCACATGTCTGCTCTTCTCTTACTCCCAGATACTGACATTTTTTTACTTTTCCGTCATAGTTTTTGTCATTCAAAACACGTTTTTATTTCGTTATCGTCTTGTTTTCGTCAACAAAATTAACACTGGTAGTCGGCAACCTATGGTTGCAAAAGGTGCCATTTTATTTTTGTTAAAGATTTGTTAGAAGTCTTGGAAGTATAAGGAGATTGACCCACAGGCGTGATTTACCTTTGAAGACCCTTCAGAGTGGCCAGAATGGAAACATTGACTTTACAGGTTTCAAAACCATGACAAAACGAAAATATGATGATGCTGTACCTGCTAGTTCTTGTCTGCTCTATAGGACGCGAGACCAGTGGAGTCACTAGGGATTCTGGGCCACAGAATTTGCTATGGGGCCCCCAAGGGACATTGTTGTGGTCCCCTCTAAGCCTCTAGGCCACCCTATGCACTCTGTCCCCCTTTTCGCCTGGTTGAAATGCCCCTGAGCGAGAGAGGGAATGCTCTTGCACTGCTAGCTTTGATGACGACGAGGATAAGGATGTTGTACTGGCCAAGGCTGAGGAGCTTATCAAAACATATTCAGATTCACGAGCGGGATGTTTCTCTCTGGGGGAAAAGTAGAGGTGTTTGTTTCCTCGCTTTGCGAAATGCAAATTTTGAACTTGGTGACTATTCACATTCACTACCATTTAGAGGTCAGAATAAAAGCCAAACGACTTTCAAATAAGTGCGTGACATTAGCCGAGACACATTCGGAGGAAATAAGCAATGCATGCTCGTTTGCAAACTCGTGAAATGCCAAGCGAGCTCATCCTGCAAGGCACCAACACAACTCCCACGAGACGGAGGGGGAAACAATGCACACCCAGAGAAGAGTAGTTCACGTGCAAGAAGCCAGCCATCCAAATCCGAAAGATTCCCTGCAATAAAACAGCCGAGAGCACTGAAAGCGAGAGAAATCACAGGACAAGGTATTGGGTGCGGTTTGCAAGGAAAAGAGGGTAGCGCGGTTGAAAATAGGTCAGACAGCACATTCAGTTTGAGACAGGAGCTTATGCATGTGCGATAATTGAGGAGACATTCGCACCAAAGAAAGAACAGCTCCAGCTGAGGCTTCACTCAGTGGCGCAGGAGGTTGTGAATGTACCAGTGCTATGGTCGAGACCAGCTCATTCCAGCCAGAGTCCAGGCCAAGACCTGAGCAGATTGAGCCTGAGTCAAGACGGAGACTTGAAGAGGGTCGAGTCCAAGTCAAGACTAAGACCAGAAACGGGTCTTAAAGATTCAGGCAGTGTAAATATGCTTTCCTTCGGGGTGAATG